CGTAACAAATGGGGGCTCGTCCTGGAGAGAACATCCATGAGGTGATGTAAATGTAAGTTCCTGTGTATATCTCGTGGCCTTTTTTTGTGTAGAGATCATCTCTTTTGTTAAATTCTTTGTGGTTGTTGCTCTGTGTTTAGTTTTGAGCACCATGACTCAGTAGTCACTGGGCATTTTTGCCACCTATACCTATCTAATGTAAAGTTTTTTTGGGGCGTATGTTTAAGATCGTTACTAAGCTGTTTTTAACTTTACTTCTATATTCCTCTATGTCTATGTATAATGTTGACTGCTGACTGATCGATGTTTGGTATGTAGTCTTTCCACTGCACGTGGATAATGAGACTAACTGCAAACTCAGCCAATCCTACCTAAGATGGCTTTTCTTTGTTACAAAACTGTTTGTGATGAAGGTCTCGTCACTGAAACATTGCAGCATTACATCGTTATTTTTTAGACACTGTGTGGAAGTCTTTTCTACAAGTTTTATTCTTCTCGTCCCACCTGTTTGAGAACAGATGTGCAAAGCATCCCTTCGCTTTGAGTTACTTACATTTTGACATCGCAGGACTTCTCGTGGTTGCAGAACGGGCAGGTGAACTGGATGTCCAGGTTACCCGTCATTTTTTTCTTTGGAGGTGGCTTTCTCTTTGACTTCCTGCGCCCCATTTCTAATGTTGTATATCTGCGGAAAGAAAATAACCATTAATAGGACAGTTATATTTTGTTTTCATCAGCTATGGGACACGTTCGCACTCACTTGCATGTTAAACTCTTCCCCACAGAGACGCCAGAGTACCCGCGTAATTAATGTGAATTTCCAGTCTCTTTGCCGAGCAGGCTGTTTCACTGAGTCACAGTAGGTATGGCCATTTTTTATTGTTTTGCATCCACACTCCGAAACAACAGAAATAGAAAACTAACCCTTGTGTTATGTCTAGTAGTGTCTAGATAGAAGACAATAATTCAACATCATAGCTAATCAGTAAGGGACTGTTCTGTTTGGTTATTTAGGAGGAGGGACGTGGCTGTGGTGTGACTTCGTTTTTGATTTTATTATTTTTTTCCTTGAAGCTACAAATAGTTACCCTTGAGCCTCCCTGAGTGACAGCGAAAACGCAAGACCCTCCCTCCACCATTAATTCGTTGTTAGATTTTAAAAATGTATACTTAGATATTTGAAAGTTAAAAGTTGAGGACGAAATACTGAAGTTGAAAAAAGCCTTGGCTTTTCACTCTTACTGTGCATGCTGGTTAATTTGTGCAAAAATTTAAATGAGACATGTAGATTAAAGTGATTTTGATTAAATATCACTATTTTCAGCTCAGACTTTGTTTGCTTTTCTCTGACTGAAGCGTTTCGCATAACATAATGTGTTCAAGGACTGTTGGAAAAGTGAAGATCCAATGATAATCACTGTTTTCACAATGATAAACTGTAATGTTGATGAAACCGTACATGTTTTCTTTAAAAATCAGTGTTTAAATACAAAATACAGCTATTTTAAGTTGTATGCTCCTCCCTTAAGCCAAAATAAAAACATAAATCACTCCCCTGCACTTAAAAATATATCTGACCTGCCTCCCGCTTTTGCACCACCCCCTGCCCTCTCATAAGTAATGAACAGTCCCTAATGGCTCACCTTGCTCACAGGCAGGTAAGATCACTGGACCAAAACTAACAATAACACTACTGATAACGCTGCTCCTTCTCCTCGAGGATAATAACAAAGGTTGCCTCCGATTTAAAAAGTTTTTGAGTTTGAGTTTACAACTCAGTCTGAGCCAAACAAATCAACCTAAACACGATCAGAGCTACATTTACACTGAAGCGCCAAAACCGCTACAGGCTAGCATGCTAGCTCGCTAACAGCTACTAGCCTTTCGTTTAAGACTGAATGAGATAAAACTAGCTTTCAGTAAATCACTTGGAGTGCTGAAGGTGACAGCGAAGAGCGCGTGTCGTGTGTTAAAGGTTTTATTATTTCGCATTTGTAAAAAATGATGCGACTGTTATCTGTCTTACCGGAGGGATGTCTTCTGCAGCGGAGGGTACTCCGTGTATTCGATTTCATCCGGGTACTGCAGCATCTCTCTGGCTCTGCTTCTGATTGGCTCTTGGGGATTTGACTGGTTTGTGATTGGCTCAACTGCGGAGACTGACAGCATGTGTATCCAATAGCAGAGCTCGTTTTTTAAGTTAACGCCCTCATCTGGTGATGCGGCAAAAGTTACATCCTTCAAATAATAAAACCCCAACCCCCTCAAAATAAAATAAAATAATTGATAAAAAAAAACTAAAGCAATTTAATTAAAATAAAAATATATTATTTGAAATAAAATAAAATGAAATAATTAAAAAAAATCTAAAGCAATTTAATCCAAATAAAAAACATATTATTTGAAATAAAATAAAATAAAACTTAACCATGTTGCAATTATACTAAAATAATGTTTTAATTGTAATGCTACATTTTTATTAAGATACTACTGAATATAACATGTTGTATATTATACATCTAAATATTAATGTTTTCACATATAAAATTAACAGTGTGCTGAAATTAAAGGCTTTTTTAAACATAAGTTTTAATAAGCGATTTAAAAGATGTCACTGATTCATTAAGATTAATTAAGATTCACTGATTCATTACTTTGTGTTACTCTGATTCTTCCATTTGCTCTAACTAAGTGTAATCTACAGGGCAATTAGTTGCTCTGTTAGGGCATATAGTTGCCAACTTTGCTCATCTGCTTCAGTGATGGTATTTTATCTTTATTTTATTGTTATTGTTCCTTGTATTTCTTAAAATTGCCTCGCTGTTTTTGCTTTAATTCCCACATTGTGTTAAACATAAAGCACTTTGTCACTTTGTTTTGAGAAGCACTTCATAAATAACGTTTGTTATTATTATTCTTATTTTGAAATCCTATATTTATGAGACAAAATGGTCAGAAATCAAGCTCACTTTATTGCACTTTATCAATGAATTTAAACAATATAACACTATCTTAACTAAAGTTAAAAACAAAAAAGCATTACAACCTTTAAGTTATTAAATGGATTATAATATTCTGCATGTAACACAAACTCTGGTGATATAAAATGTACCCTACATGTATTGTCTTTTCTTTTTGTTTGTTTGTTTTTGCTTTCTATTTATCTATTTTTTTGCCCTTGCATATGGACATGTGCACAATAAAGGGAAAAATAAATACAACCAAACCCAACATATTATAGAGCACAATTCATACAACAAGATACAAAACAATGTGCCTCAGACAAAGATATAAAGCACATAAAGACTGATGCGAGAATTTAAAACACAGAAAGATTTACTTAAAAAATAAAGTTTAAAAAAGGCAGCAGATGTAGAGTTGAGAGAAGATGATGTTGAGCCATCCCGTGATTCATTTCTGAAATGCAGTTTAAAGATTGTCAAGAGGACTCAGATCATCAGGTGAAGCAGAGATACGACTGATATCGATTAATATCATTCATTTTTGTGCTCATAATCAGCTCAGAAACCGTGAAAATGATAGAAATGTGCTATCAAAAACCTTCATCGTCGTCTGCAGGTAATGGGTTGAGATGCTGCTGAGAGGAGCTGAATGATTTCCCTGTGTGATGTGTGTCCATAGGTCCTGTTCTTTGGGATGCAGCCACGTCTAACCTTTTACTGTGCAGTAATTGTCTGACTTCAGGCCAAAAAATATCAACACAACCCTCGCCCAGGTGGAGCAACTCCAGGAAGCACCTGCCAACAAATCAATTAGCCCGAATTACCACTTCTGTCATATTGTGGTGCTCTGTATTGGCAAGCGAAGTCCAACCTGCACTTTGCCTCAGAAAAGTAGAATTAAATAAATGAAAATAAATCCCATTTGGCTCTGCTGACATATAAAAGGAAAAATTCTCTTTGGATTATCCAGCTGAGATAAAACAAAACCCACTAATTAAAAGTTTCCCCAAAGAAATAATGAAAGGTCTGAGCCACATCTTAAGGTTGAAATGTGGTGAACAAAGTCTGTGTGTAGGGGAGGTTCTTGCTGCGCCACACAGCCACAGACATGAATGAAAGCTTCTCAAGTGGAAATACTCAAAGAGAGTGCGAGGATGGATGAGGTGCAGGAGGAGAGTCGCTGTTTCACATGGTGGTTTTATAAAAGACACATTCTGGGATACAACTTCTCAGTATTCTATTTTATTTTATTTTATTTCATTTTGATTTATTTTATTTTATTTTTTAATCCTGTCAAAAAACATTGAAACACACATCAATTTAAATGGCTTGCTGTGTATAGACACCTGGACTTACAATACTGCATTTCATTTATAATATACATAATACTTTCTGTTATTTACTTATCTTGCTTAGTCTACATTATTGATATGTATTATGATTATTATTATTTTACATGTCAAAATATTGAAACAGACTTAAATTCAAATGATAGTCATAATAATTCCAAGGAAGCATAGCCTCGAGAACAATTTCACTTGATTTAATAATGCAGCCATAATTAGCGTGGTGTGTGTGTGTGTGGTTTAAATTGCACACAGTGTAAGTATTATATAACTTTAGTGAGTTGTTATGTGTATGGTTAGGTTTTCAATGGCTGCCTGTGTATAGAGACCTGCACAGACATTATTAAAATTTAATTTGTAATATTTATAACACCCTTTGCTATTTATTTATCTTGTCAAAGCTACATTTTTAATCCTTAATTTATTATTTATTTTTCTTTATTTTATTTACCAGTCTAAATCTGAGACAGACTTCAATTTAAACTGAATAATGTACTTAATAAATCCAACAGGTAAATCATCACTTGCTGCTGTCCAGCTCGAGCACACACGTGGTGAAGCACGTGACATGTTTGGGTGAATAAATAAAACCCAACTGATGGACCGTGAAAGACAAACATCGACCACAAATCGATGAATGGATGAAATATTATAATATATTCATATTGAAAGAATCCCATTGGTCCGTCTGGCCTCGGGGGCGTGGCTTGTGATATAATATTATGACAGAGGAAGTGGCTCTGCTGAACCGTGGATCATACTTAGGTTATTAATTTGCATTTGACACCGCAGAGTTAATACTCACGGGGAAAGGAAGCCGAGGTGAGTGCACGTGTGTGTGATGTTCAGTGAGTGACTGCTGGTGAAAAGAGACATGGCGGAAGTGAAGCTGCCGAAATTAAACTAGTGTGTCTCTGTTAGCTCAGAGGCTAACGCTGTTAGCATGTCAGCTCCAGCTGGAGACATGTTACAGACACACAGTACAGGTTCACTGCTCGTCTGTAATGTGTCTACATGTGTCACCATATGTTGGTAACTTGTAGCCTCGGTTAAATGTTGTTGTTTACACAGATGATATTTGTGAGATGTGTTTCCTCTGCTGTGTGTTATCTCTTCATGGGGGCTTATCAGGTCAGCTGCATGTGTGGAGCAGCAGGCTGTAAACACACACTAGACCTTTATCGCTGTGGCCCTGCTCCTGATGTTATGTGTCTGAGACCTGCCATCTTTAATAGCTCAAGACACACACCGAACCCTCTGAGACCCTGCACACATCACATTTTGGGTTTCCTGCACCTTGTAATTCATTCTGCTGAACTAGACCTGTTGTCCTTGCTTTTGTAGACTTGTAAGCTCAGTCTACAGCTGATCCCAACTAGGGCTGCAACGATTAGTCGACCAATTGACTGTTAAAATAATCAGTTACTATTTTAGTAGTCAACTAATCGGTTTGAGTCATTTTTCCTAGAAAAGTACTGTAAAAGTACCCCAAATACTCTTATTGCAGCTTCTTATGTACAAAAGTTGGAACGGTATGGTATAAGGGGGGGGGGGGGGGGGGGGCTTAGTTGGGTAAAAAGCTATATTGAAAATAGACAATAATTTGTGCAGTTGGGTGAGTACAGGTCAGCATGCTTAGATATCACTTGTGGCGTCCCACAGGGATCAATACTTGGTCCCAAATTATTTATATTATACATAAACGATATAGTTAATGTCTCTAATATTCTTAAATTTGTCATTTGTGCTGATGACACTAATATGTTCTGTTCTGGCAAGCACTTAAAACAGCTATTGGGGGATGTCACAACTGAACTAGGGAAACTGAAACTGTGGTTTGATAACAACAAAGTTTCTCTGAATGTTAATAAATCAAAGTTTATTTTATTTGGAAACAGACGAGTTCACCCTAACATACAGGTACAAGTAAGTATAGACAGCTTTAGCCTTGAAAGAGTTTATGATTATACTTTTCTGGGAGTGAAAATAGATCACAGACTTAACTGGAAAACCCATATAGACCATGTCAGGTTGATCTTAAAACAGCACAGGTAGTATATAAGGCAAGAAGTTATTTACTCCCTAGGAAACTACAAAAAATGTTTGTTGACAGAGACAGGCAATATGATTTAAGAGGTGAATTTAATTTCCGACAACCTAAAGTTAGTACAACACTTAAAAGTATGTGTATTTCTGCCATTGGGGTGAAGTTACGGAATAGTTTACCGGACGAACTGAAAAAAAGTAAAAATATCTTTCAGTGTAAAAAGAAGTTTAAGTATATTCTACTTGAAAAGTATAGTAAAATTGGTGCACAATCAGATTAATAATGTGTATTGTGACTTTTATGTTAATTATTGACTATTCGTTTTCTTGATGGATACATTTCCAGGTTTTTTTCTGTTGTTTTTTTTTCTCCTTGTTGGTCTGACCATTCTTGCAATCATTTATTGATGGGACGGATTAAGGGAAGGCACAAATAAGCTGTACAGCGGTAGCCTTTTCCTTTTCAATCTACAGTATTTATTTAAAAAAAAACAGTATAAGTATGATGTGTACTGTAATGCAAAGATAATATGCAAAGATTGAAATAAAAACAAACATCAGTCATCAAATATTGGCAGCTTTACACACTCTCCCATGATGGTGAACTGAAACGTGAGTGGCGTGAGTACGAAACAAGACATTAGATGACATCATTTTGGGGTTTGGGAGAGACAGACCAACATTTTCAACATTTTAACACATTGTTCGATAAAATGATTAGTCGACTAATCGAAGAAATAATCGACAGATTAGTTGACAATGAAAATAATCGTTAGCTGCAGCCCTAGTCCCAACACAAAGTGGACAAGGTACAAAACCTGATCAGATTTTGTGGTTGAGACTGAATTATTTGTGCTAAATAACATCTGTAGTTTGATATGGCAACAAATTTGACCCAGTTTAGCAACAGTAACAAGCTAAAATCCTGTCGTTCGAGGACACTACGACTTTTTGTTTTGTTTTTGCACATCAATGTTCAGGTATTGAAATAAGTGAAACAGTTGTATAATTTTTTACACACAAAGCTGGGGTCTCAGGAGGTTAACATTGTCTTTATCAGCTCAGTACTTGATGATTTTTTTGTTTATAAGCATGATTATTTTCAGAATTGAGTCACAGAATATTAAACTCTGACTTGCAAAGTAATGGTGAATGATGTCTTATGCTCAGTGGCAGTTCTAGCATACTTGGTGCCCCAGTTGAGCAAAAGATAAACTTTACAAGCTTACATTGAACACATCATGACGATTTTATAATTTACTTTTGCCTAATGCAAATTCTTAATGAGTAGAGCTTTAACATTTCACACTGTAAATCATTGCAGCCTTCATGAGCTGTTCATAGTGGCCACCGGCTGCTTAGGTAACAGCAGGTTTTTGACAAACAAATGTAATACATATTTTATTTTCAAGCTCATTAACCTGTGAGACAAAATAAATTCTTAAAAGGGAATAATAACTTATTATATGGCCGTTTCCATCATGAGATGTATAAGGCAGAGTTATTATAGTTTTGTATCCCTTTTTTAAAATATTTTTATTTTGTTTTTAATTTTTGTATGAATTCAGTTTCATTTCAGTTAGTTTCCATAGGTTTTTTAATAATACGGGGGGTATTTGTGCGGGGCAAGATTTAAGAAGTTCAGAATAGTTATTACAATATTAATGCAATACTTTGTAAAGGCAGTTGACTCACAGTCATGGAGACGTCTCAGTCTCTATAAAGAAATGCACCAGTGCCTCCTCAGCCTTTTTGTGTTGACAAATTTGTCCAAATTGACAAAAACTAAAGACATTTTCTGCACATTGTATTTTACTTTTAATTCAATTCAGTTTTATTTATAGAGCCAAACATCACACACCACAATTTGCCTCAGAGGGCTTAACAGCATATAACATCCCTCTGTCCTTCCTTTGGCCTGATCAGGAAAAACTCCCCCAAAAAACTCTTTAATGGGCAAAAAAAATAGTCATAGAAGTTAGTTTTGTAATTACACAATATTAAAGGTCTTGTTATTTCACTTAGCTTTATTGTTTTTTTCCACACCTAGTTTTAGTTTTTAGTTTAGTTTAAGTTCACTATAATAACTTTGGTGCAAGCCCAGGTAGTGGCAAAGGGAAGGGCTGCCTTTTCTACATATTGAATTTTAATGTAAGAGGGAAATAAATTAAAGGAAAAATGTTTGATTACACCAATGAGGAAGTAACGCCAGTATCAACAAAACAAAAAGGCTAAATGTGTTTATATTGTATGTGTTTTGCAGAGTGACATCATGGCAGCAGAGGGGGAGCCCACAGACTTGGTCAAAGTGCTGCACCTTCTGGTGCTCTCATTCACCTGGGGTATGCAGGTCTGGGTCTCCTTCATAGGAGGTATGAGCCGCACAGACATGTCATGGCTGCCCAATATATTCTCACTCCGACCTTGTCACATGTCCACGTTTGGTCATGGACTTTCCACGTCCACATATGGTGTCCAAGGTACCCTGGGTGTGTTGGTTGTTGACGTTCTGGGACACAGCGTCAACTTCAGCCTGTTACATGCATTGTCTGTTTTCAAAATACACTTCTGTTTTCACAGGAAATTTAACATTTACTTACAGTCTCTTTCAAAATAAAAGCACTACGTCGGTACAACAATGCAAATTGATGTTTTTTTTCCTTCAACAACAAACACACATGGTTTAGGAAAAAAGAACAGGGTTTGGCTTTACAATCTTATGGGACGCGAACATCGCATTCTCGGGTGAAAGTCAGTGTCTGTTGGACCCATCCACCACCCCTTCTGCCCATCCTAGACAGACTTTCGCTGCCTTAACTTACGCCCTTGTCCCACCATGTTTCCCCCTGCCCAAGCGCTAGATTTCGACGACTTCGGAGTGAGACTGTGCTCGGCTGCCACATAATATGGATTCCTGCTTCAACATTATATTTTTATTTCTGACCCCTTGTCTTTATCGTGATATCTGTGCCTGCAGGTTTTGCACTGGTGCAGCAGGTAAGTCGTCACACCTTCGGCCTGGTGCAGAGTAAACTCTTCCCTGTGTATTTCTACTGTCTGCTGGGGAGCAACTTCGTCAGCCTGGCTGTGTATGCTGTGTACCACCCAAGGGAGCTGCTGGACTGGCACGAAACCATGCAGGTCAGTTTTAAATGCTTATTTTAATCACTGTATTTGCAATTAAATCATCACAATCTTACATTAAGGTATCTCATCTTGTCCTGCAGATGGCTCTGTACTTTGTGGCGCTGATCATGGTCGGTCTGAATGCCCAGTGGTTCGGCCCAGCGGCCACTGAGGTGATGTTCCAGATGAGGGATGTGGAGAAGGAGCACGGTCTGGGGGACCAGGTCGGCCTGGGGAGTCAGAAAGAGGGTTATGCTAAGCTCAAAGAGCAGGACCCCAAGTACAAAGACTACAGACGCACGTTTGGCCGCTACCACGGGTTGTCAAGCCTCTGCAACCTGATCGGGTTCCTCTGCACCACCGTTAACTTGATCTACACAGCCCTGAAATTATCCACCATTTAGAGCAGAGTGGGTGTTAATGTGGGCTTGAGTTAAATGAAAGTGTACGTGACATTATGTAAATCTAATTTTACAGATTTCCTAAGTGTCCTTATGAAGGAGGACGTCTTTGTTGACACTGAGCGTCCACTTTTATTCCCGTCAGCTACACACTTTTCGTCCTGTCGATCAGTATCTAATGTGTCACAAAATAGGATGTGTTGCATTTTAATATTTGCCCTTAACATTTGATTATATTGCTCATGATCATTCCCCCCATTAAGAACGACATTTCTTTTAAAACACAGTAACATGTAGTCACCAAACCTCAGGTACCGTGTGGGCAATTTACTTGTATCCCCAGCAGGGGGCGCTGTTTGGACACAGGCGTATTCAGGGAACGATTAGTGCATCTCATTTGTAAAGTGTTTCCAGATATTTTAATGAAAATGTATTTTAAATATGTAAACACTGAACTAACTCTGTGATCAAGAGATTAAACATTGTGCTGTTCATATTCTTTCATGTACGTCTGACGTTGTGTCTTTAAATTTGGAGCCACAGGTCCATCAGGCTTTTAGGTTTTTAAAATACCTTCAACTTTGTTTCATTCAGATAATAATATACTGATGTGGTTATCCTACTGTGCTATTCCCTAAAGAAATCAGTTTTATTGAGTGAATGTTCTTCTGTTGGCATAATATTCAATTTAGAGTATTAAAGACCACGTTTACTTGGCAGTGTTGGGGATCTTTGATTTGCAATTAGAACAGTCCAGATTATTACAGCATGGATTCAGTTGTTAAAGATTTGGCAGCAAAACATTCAGTCTTTAAAATTCAGCATAGTACAACAAAGATAGGTTTCAAGATTAGTAATACTGTTTACACCCAATTCCTACTCTCATGGATAGATTACTGGATTGCAAGTTGTCAGACGACACAGCTACTGTTTGCCTGACAAAGGTGTAGTCACTGAAACGTTGCAGCAGCATTAAAATCATTATTTTTTGTTATCATTATTATTATTATTATTATTATTTTAAGTTAGACAGTGTGCTGGAGTCTTTTCTACGAGTTTTATTCTTCTCATCCCTCTCCTATGCAACTGTATTCCTAGTAATCCTTTGTTTTAAATGTCAACAACATACAACAACATACCGACTGGGAAGAGACTCAAAATGACCTTAAAGAGATGCAAAGGAACTTAAAAGAAACACAGAATAACTACAAAAGCAGGCAAAACAACCCTAAAGTGACACAAAACTACCAAGAAATACAAAAAATTAGCTCAAAGGGAAACAAATGAATACAAAAAGATCCAAAACAACTAAAAGGAGACACAAAACTGCAACAAAAAGATGCGTAACGACTGCATAGAGACACAAATCCACCACAAACTGTCAGTACATTTACATGACATTAGAGAAAATTGATTTATTGTGTCCGACTAAAACCGGACTTTTAAAATACATGAAAACATGTTAGTTTGACTAAAATTGTACTAAGTTGAGTTTCTCATAGGCGGACTAACACACCCAGATAAGGCCATCACTCCTGCATGTATACAGTCAATCAGACCCAAACTAACTGAGGCGCTCTGAGCATGCTCCACAGTTTCCGCCCCGGACTTTGACCCTGAAGTCGAATAACATTAAATCCGTAACAGAAGAAGAAGCTGGCAACAACATGGAAAAATCTACATCCAGAGCCGTGACTTTTTTAAACGGACAGCTTTTTTCGTCAGTGACGCCGCAAGCACTGGATTTCAAGTACATTTCAATTTCACGTTCTTAACATCACCTCAGTTGTGTTTTTGTGTTTTTATTTGGATAGAGATTTATTTGAGAAAGTAAGACAAAAAAACCCTTTTTTTCAAAAAATGGCTATGGACGTGTGGACCAGGCGTAACACCTCCTCCTAACTGGACAAGATGCGAAAATCTGATTGTTTCAGTTTTTCCCAATGACGATGTCGTAATCTGTTTGCCAGCAACCAGGTGAAGCTAGCTTGAAAAACTGCTCGCCCAGCCTGGCTCTATTTTTAAGTTTTGCACAATTGCTCCACCTCCATCATATTTTCGAAGCTGTTGCTTGGGTGCAACACACTTGCTGAATGTTGTTGGCGCTGGTAGTGTATTGAGACATTTTTTTGTGCTCCATCTCAGTGTTTGCTCGCTGTATGATAGGAAAGTCGGTCTCACTCCGAAGTCGTCGAAATCAGGCGCTGAGGCAGTCAGAAAACGACGAGTAATGCATCCTTTAATGTTGGCATGGTACGCAACTGGATGCTGTTATAGTTTAAAGGTGTCAGGAGTAAATGTGTCAGGACTAGGACGAGCAGTGTTCGTGTCCCAGAAGATTCTAAAGCCAAACCCTGTTCTTTTTTCCTAATCCTAACCACTTGTGTTTGTCAATTTGCGGTGTTGTACCAAAGTAGTGCTTTTATTTTGAAAGAGACTGCATGTAAACGTTAAATTTCCTGTGAAAACAGAAGTGTATTTTGAAAACAGACAATGCATGTAACAGGCTGAAGTTGACACGGCATCCCAGAACGTCAACAACCAACACACCCAGGGTACCTTGGACGTCATATGTGGACGCGGAAAGTCCATGACCAAACATGGACATGTGACGAGATCGGAGTGAGAATGTGTTGGACAGGAAGAGGTGCAGTTCTTAATAAAAGAAAGCAAAGTGTATATTCCACAATGTCAAAATATTCCTTCAAGTCAGCTGGAGTCAACACACACATTAAACAGTTAACCACAAACTAACTGCCACACAGTGAAATTGTTTAACAGTGGCCTTCAGGAGCCCAAACCCTCAGGGGGTTTCGCTGTCAGTCACATTTATTCAGTCAAATCAGGCACCTGACTCAGTCTCTATCACCTCAAAAATCCCTGGCCTCGTATCACCTTAAATGATCCCGATGAGTTACACACAATAACACACAGGCTTTAAATGCTGCTCAAAAGAAAGCAGCGGTTTTAGATAAGAGCTCAGTATTAGAAGATTGGTATCAGGGGAGAGAAAGTCATCTCTTGTGTATTCTTCTCTGTTATGATATTCATAGATAATCTCTTTTTGGGATTTTAAAGGAGCATGCAGTCGTGAGTTATGGTGTTCATCTCATCTCTATATAACGTTCAGATAATCTCTTTATAGGTGCAGTGGGTTTATGATGGTCTGCAGTGCTCCCACTTGGCATCATTATGAGCTCCAGTAGTTCAGTTTTTGGTGCACACCACAGAAAGGTGGATAATCACTTGCAGTGAGGCCGAGGTGTGTGTGTGTGTGTGTGTGTGTGTGTGTGTGTGTGTTGCTCTGATAAATTACACATTGTATCAGGATTTCAGTGTTTTTGTGCTGCGTAGATGCACATCCATCACTGAGATCAGACAATTGCAAATTAGGTCTACATTTCCACATTAGAGATGATTGAATAAAGCTGCTTCAGACTCCCAGACTCATGATTAATTTAACACACCATATTTCTGCGGGGCTGCTCTGCAGTATCACTGGAGTTCCAAATAACGGCCCCTGAACTCACAGCAGTCGATGTTCAGCTTGTGTGATTGCTGCAGTGAGTCTTTCTTGCACGCACACACGTAAATTCATTTCCTTGTGTGGGTTAGGAATGAGGGAGGATGGTGGAGCTTGTCTGGTGCAAGTTCTCAACACTTCCTTTTGTTCCCCTACTTCCTCATGTTTTACTTTGCACACCCGGAGCTGAGGAATTTTTGAAACAGTGTGTGTTTTCTTCATGGTCTTCATGTCTGTATGTGGCTGATTCAAATGTCACACGTCACTTTATACAGTTGTTTTGGAGTTGGTTAAACCAACAGTCTTGACACTTGTTGAGCTGTATGGAGGAAATTCACTTGAGATTTCTCCAAAGTCATGCCGCGAAGAGATGAGCAGATAAACTTGTTCTTTGGTAAAACAGACAATTTATTTCCTGATGCCACTGCAATGGACAGCTTGCTGGGGCAGCTCAAAAACCAGTAGAGAGTTTCAAAGGTTGAACGCTCTCCTCGAGACACGTAGACTCACCTCCCTGTATATTCTACAAACTGACAACAAGGGACATTAAAGCTGGAGTAGGCAGTTCTGCCTGTTACATGCATTGTCGTCTTTCAAAATATACTTCCGTTTTTACAGGAATTTACCATTTACATAAAGTCTCTTTCAAAATAAAAGCACTGCATCAGTACAACAACATGAATTTCTGTTTTTTGTCCTCCAACAACAAAAGCACATGGTTAGATTTAGGAAAAAAGAACAGGGTTTGGCTTTAGCATCTTACAGGATGTGAACACCGTTCTCCCAGGTGAAGGCGGTGTTTATAGGACCCATTCACCACCCCTCCTGCCCGCCCTACTCAGACTTCCGACGCCTTAACTTTAGTCTTTGTCCTGCCACGTTACCCGCTGACGCCGCTGAGCACGGTTAAACTATAACGGCAACTGGCCGTCTAGAAAACTCCCTGTTATCCTTTAAGAACGCCATTTCCCAGCAGCCCTAGCTTGATCATGTGACACTTTTCAGGGCAGTGGCGTCAGTCTGTTCCAACCTCCAAAGCGGAGGTCTGCTGCTCCTTCCTGGTTATGGTAAATAAAGACCATTGTTGAGCTTAGTCCCTGGAGTGCCAGCGTCTTCCTTCTGATTGAGGATGAATCAGGTGTTGCACGTTTCCACCGACTACTACAGGCCGCATATCATGCCGACGTTTATACATCAGCGTATGACGTCGCAAGTCATTGCCCAAGCGCAGGATTTCGTTGACTTTGGAGTCAGACCTGGTTGTTCAGAGGGAGGGCGTTCCTATTGGTTGGTTGGTCTTCAAACGCAGCTGTGCGTGCACGTTCCTCAATGGTGGAGAATCTTGCAGAGAAAGTTGCTATTCCAGCACTGGCATCAACTTCCTACACTGCAAAGCAACCCGAAAAAGGAAAACGGACTGATCAAAAAGAGTCTGACAATAAAAAAAATAAAACACATGTCAATATCGGCAAAGCAGATATACGATTTCAGAGATGAAGAGGAAATGTTGCTAACAGTTCAGCCTTCTGTTAACTGAAGCCAAAGGCTTATGGCTGCTGCTTCTAGTTCTCGTTTATGAAGCTAACATTAGCTAGAGCCTCACTCCCCGTCGTTGCAGGAGATGAGAGGCAGCAGCTCCAGAGACGTACCTCCTGTCAGTGTCTGCAGCAACCTGAATCCAACTGGTGCAAACCTCAGCAACACGGGAACCGACAGCCTCAGTTCCCAGCTGGGTCAGCAAACTTTTTGTTGCTGCCTTTACACAGGTTAGACTCGGTGCTGCTGCTGCCACCAGCCTACTGTGACACATTGCACCAGGGGTTTTGTACTGGCTGAATTCAAGCCCTTATAGCCACTGACCTATGGCTCCTCTGGGTTACTGTATGAAGCAGGTGTGTATACCCGTGGGAGGGGCTTGGGACAGAGAAGAGAGCTGCAGAATGAGGGTGTATGTCAAATTAAGCTGTTTTTTTGGTGTTGTTTTTTTGCTTTCTTTGGCTTTAACAAAAGGGTCAAACAATAATCTGTCTGTTTGTTCCGAACTGTATTTTTATTAAATCACAGAGCAAGAGAAACAAATCTCATTAAAAAACAGAATTCCTGATCACAAATGGAGGAAACATCTTAAAACGGCCCCATCTCTTTACCTTCAGTCCCTGCTTTTTATATTGAAATGCCTCCATTATAATCCATTAGTGCTGATGTTGTAGCTGTAACAAGGACAGAGTCTCTCTCATCCTGTAGCTGGCCAGCAAACCAGCGTTCTCTGCATTCAAGGCTGCTCCTCTCAAAACCTGATGTGCGTCACTGCTAATTAAATTAAAACCTTCCTATTTCCAAATCCAGGAACCGTCTCTTGGATCTGGGTTCACTCATCACTGTGAATCTATGAGGGTTAAAGGCCAGTGTCTGTCCAAACTGATCCAGTGAAACAAGTGTTCGGTTTTAGAGCATAAACATCATGACAAGACAAACCTGGAAACAGGGGTGGAGCCAGACGCTGTAAACTTTCAGGGCTCAGCCAAAACCTCGGGGGGTCTGGGTCAGAGAGTCTGTTCCCTCCATTTACAGCAGTTATATGCACCATTTTCCAAGCCATTAGAGATATTAGAATGCCAAAAAATCTGTACATCATTTGGGAAAACACAACACACAACAAAAAACATCTTGTAGCCTGCAGCGTATTTTGTACCTAGAGTGGTCTCCTTTGGTCTGAATCAGGGACTCATGTTGTTCCAAAGTTGTATAATTGCCTAGAGTTGGTTCGTGTTCTCACTGCAGCATTTACAAGAGGACCAGATCAAATGCCTTGTGTGAGAAAGCTGCTCTTGATTGGTCAGAATTTCCATGTGGGAAAAATCCAGGAAGTAAAGCAAACGTCGAAGAAGAGTACACTTGCAAGATAAATGTGACACTTTCTAATGTCACAATGGAGGGACAACTACGCAGATTGATTTTAGCGCTGCTCATCGTGGACTATATTGCTGTCATTGTTCATTTTAGTCAAACCATACAGTTTGAAAACGAGGCGCGGCTCCAACTAGAAAACAATGTTTTGATGCATTGGATGTGCTGAATGTGCATATTAAGGCAGTACAGGAGGAGGTGCACATTAATAATCCTCCAGGACTGTAACATGCTCATGTTTAACCCAAACAATGTGTCATGTGACTGCAGTTGCTTCACATCCAGGTCAGAACACCTTCTCACCACAAACCAACCGCACCAGAGTTCGTTTGTAACTGGACTGAGACCACCTCTTCAAGAAGGTCTCAGTCCGGTTATAAATTAACTCTGGTGCGGTTGGTTCTCCCCACAAACCAACCACACCAGAGTTCGGTTACAAACGAACTCTGGTGTGGTTGGTTCATGGTGAGAACCAACCGCACCAGAGTTCCTTTGTAACCAGACTGAGACCACCTCTTCAAGAAGGTCTCAGTCCGGTTGTTTTGGTGCACACCTGTGTGTGATTGCTGTGTTCACACCTGCCCAAACGAACCACACTGAGGGGTCAAATGAACTTCAGTTTGATTGAACCGAACCAAACAGGGCAGGTGTGAAAGCATCCTTAGTTTCCTCCATCTGTCTGCAGTTGGGAGACATTTTATTCAAGAGCTTTTTTTTCCACCAGAAAATGATCTCTTGGTTAAGGGAAGGAAATAAATCCATGGTCTGGCTTTGAAGAAAGCCTTCACGGAAAACCTCTCCCATGAGCCACCTGTTGTCGTCATTCTGAAACCAAAACACAACAAATGTTGAGGATGACCACTTGTCACTCCTGCCACCTGAAAAAAGGCAACGTTTGTCCAGTGTTACTATTTTTAAGTCACATAACATAGGTAGAATACACATGTGTGGATCATGGGACAACGGGCCCCTGGGCTCAGATATGCTAAGGGCCCCACCACCTCTCCTACGGTGGATCAAGACCATGGATGTATTAATAATATCATATATATACATGTATATTCTAAGAATGTTACCGTAAGAGACAAAAATATCTAATATATAATAATACTGAGCCCTCAGGTCCTCACAGAGTTACAGAAACACAGGAGAGGAAAACTTCAGGCCTCACAACTTCAGAGCATCATCACAGAAACGATGATGATGATGATTGTGCACTAAATATGAGCATTTTAACCAGCCTGGACCCTCTCATGGTCCCCGCAGAGATATCATTAAACAATCGGTCTTGTTCCTCCAGGGTGTGTGCGTTGGTGTGGTGCCCGCGCGCTCACGTGCGCACGCACTGAGTCCAGCCCTCTCCTCGAGCTGTGTACACTGTGACACACACACACACACACACACTACAGCGCCTCATAGCTTTCCGCGGTTGTTTCAGTCGCTGTCACACAGGGAGACACTGCTACACTGTCAGCCTCTCCACACACACACCACCGAGATCCGGGAGCCGCTCCACACCGAGGACCGACACACGGAAAAGTATCCTGTCTGCGGAGGGACGCAGGGCGGCTGCTGGAGCTGGTGCCGGAGCAGAGCAGATTTTTCAAGGTGTTAGCTTTACTTTAACAGGCTTCTTCACCCGGCACCTCACCGCCGGACTGACAACAGCTGCTCACGGACCGAGAGCTGAGAGGAAAGCGACTTTCTTCCGTCAGAAGGTGAGTTTGTTAAGTTTCTGTATCCAGAGGTTTTTCCTGCCGCGCACTTCCTCCATGCCTGACTGCTAATATGGTGCACCTTCACTCTGAGTTAAGTTTTAACAGGTTTCCCCTCTGAATTACACCCAAAGTGTCATCAGGTCTGTTTATTTCCAGCTGCGTAAAGTGGCAGATAATATTAGTATGATATTAATTTTCCACCATGGGAATAAACTTCCTCGCCTTTATCGCCCATCCATGTTTGCGTTCCAGTCTCCCTCTAATGAAAGAAGGGATGTGACAGCTGCCAGCTAATCAATAGTGGTCGTTTCCTGCGGGTCAGGCAGCCTGCTCTGCAAACAGTGCCATCTGAGAGAGACCTGGCTGCACCAGCATCAGGCTCTGTTCACCATGATGGCCTGTGTTTGTTCTACTGGAGATAATGCTACTCCAGTGTGCCATAAAGGAGCTGCCCAGTCTCATCCAGTCAATGGTGATCCTCACTGCTTGGAGGATGTGTGTCCTCTCAGAGATGGCTGTCCTGATATGGTGGCAGGTGCTGATGTGGGGGCCCTTATCATATCTGGTCATGCCGGTTTTGTTGTCTAGTCGAGCTGCAATGATTAGTTGATTTATGATTGAAAGAAAATTAATCCCTAGCTGTTCTGATAGTTGATTTAAGTCATCTTTTAAGCAAAAGTATCTGCGTTTCATTGTCATTTATCACATTATATGAAGAGTCTTTGGGGTTTGGACTGTTAGCTGGACAAAAGAAGCAAATTGAAGACATCACTTTGGGTTCTGGGGCATTGTGATGAGCATTTTTTACATTTTTTTGACATTTTATAGACTCCTTTAGGGTCATCGTCACGACAACATCATTTTATTAGCTGAGGGCAAAACCTGCCTCTCCCCCACAGGGCTGTAGGCTTCATAGGAGTGTTAAAATGTGTTTGTCTTGTTGTGTTATTGGGAGCCAGAATAGAAGGAGTCATGGCTCAAAACCAGCCGCCACTGCCCGTCAACAAAAACAAAGACAACTATGGTTAAATGTGATAAGACCAAAGGACTGGACGGAGGCCATCATCAAAAATGCTCACATGTGCAGCGCACACTTCATATCAGGTTAGGGAAAAAGTATTTCCTGTTGTAGGGATGAATAAGGTTATGTGTATTAAGGGTTATCATGTCCACCTCATCAGAAACTGGGGAGGGATTAAGAGGAATATTGGATTTCTCTGCAACACTAACTTTTTAGCACATTAGCTAACGTTAGCTTCCATAACAAAACAAACAAGTGTGGTCCTCCTTTGTAAGATTGGCTTCCTGTGACATCATCCATCCACTGAGTGAGAGCATATGGCTCGGCCAGTCTGGTCCCGTTGGTCAGTGTTTACTTATTCAAGTAAAGGCTAGTTCACATGACACGATTTTCACCCTGATTTTGCGTCGCGGAGACTATCGTAATCTTTTGAGTGTTCATACCTGGCGATGTGTGTTTCTGTCAACCGCGTTACGACCTGTGTGTGCTCACCACAAGATTTCTCCACCGAGCCCTCGCAGACAGAGCCCCAGATAACGCGGTGATGTCACCAAACTTGGAGACGACACATGGTAAAGGCATGGATATTCTTCCCAGTGTTGAATCAGATCTGCCTCCAGGGCCTGGGTCCAAACACAACGCGCTCCCCGTGATCCTGTGGACGCCGCATTGTTGTTGTTTCTTGCTGGCTTGTCAGTGTTGCCAGATCTTGGGAGGGAAACAAGCAACCAGGGCTATGGAAACAAGCCCAAAAGAAGTGACGGATATATATAGAGAAAGGTGACGTTTAGAAACAAGCCCAAAGTCGCGGCTAATAAGCAGACCTGGCAACCCTGCGGCTTGTCCTCCTTGCATTTCTTCCGTCCTCCTGCGTGCTGACGTGGGACGTATCCCACCTCTCATTGGCTGATGCTCTTTGTCAGTCGTGTCACACTTCTCCAGTTTTCCAGCATGCCAGATATCCAATCCCAGTCACAGACGGGGGGCGACTTGCTCGTAGGCTTGTTCACACATGAGGACTCGTCATGGCAGACTATCTGCCAACCCACCTCCGACCCAAGGTGGCTCTCAAGATCCTCTGCGACGTCAAAATCACGGTGAAAATCGTGTAATGTGAACTAGGACTAACACTCGCGGTCCTGGAGTAAATTCAGTCTGATGTCTCCACATTGAGAATAACTAAAATAAAGGTGACATTCTCCGTCCAGTTGCATTTCTTGTACATAGTACGATGAACGTCAACTTCTATATCATGGTATACCTTAAAACAGGTATATCACTGCAACCCTACACAACACTTTAAATAAATACTCTTACTTTTATACTTACCTGTAATGCTTGAAAAAGGAAAAAGATGATTCATCTAAAAAAATCTGTCTTAAATTCTGTTCAAAAAGATCTTGAAAAGGTCTTAAAATCATTAAGTGTCTGATACCTGTTTTAACATGTATAGTAAGAAGGCTTATCTCACTCGGTTGCTTTGAGTTGGTTTAGTGTGTTTTGTGTCAGTTATTTACGCACTCAGAGGGAACTTCACGCCACAGAATTAAGCAACACCGCCCAGTAACAAGAAAACACTATGTAAATCTTGTAATTTACATGACATGTTTATGAAAAGAGGAAGAGAAGGCCTAATTCTTTGCCTGGAGACATCCTGAGCTGCACAGTAAACAAGGAGGACATGTGACTGGGTTTACCTCAGGCTTAGGCTGAGCTGATGGGAAAGTTGGTGAAAGAAAATAATTTTAGAGTGGGTGGATCCATGCTATGTATGGGATCTATAAGCACACATAAAATGTCCCCCCGGAGACCCTCACAAGGCTCGGGCATCATGTGATTTTCACAGGCAGTGTCTGGAGAGATTAGAAAGGCTCGAGAGTAATGAGTTGAACACAGCACTTTATGTAACACCCAGAGAGAACTTCTCAGTGTAAAAGGATTGTGTTTATGGGGCATGTACCGAGTGAAGTAAAGTTGTGAAAGAGCATTGTGTTATTTTCTCACTGCTAGTGAAGCAGCAGCAGCAGCGTTTTGTTACGACATCAGCAGCGCACAAGGTTGCACAGGTTGTGTAGAAAGTCTGCCTCATGCCTCAGTGGACTGTCAGTTAAATGTCACTGCAGTTACAGAATTACAACACTGTAAGTGAAGGTGATTTAGAAGTTTTTACATTAGATGAAAGTTAGTTTGCACTCGTCATACTAAGACTGTCAAAAGTGTTGGTCATTTTTCGTCACCACATATTTAAATAGGACCTATACAGCTCATTTTCAGGTTCATACTTGTAGTTAAGGTTTCTACTAGGACATGTTTACATGCTTTAAAGGTCACAAACACGTAATTTTCCTCATACAAGAGCCAGAGATCAGCAAGCAAGAGAGTTCAAAGATCTCAAGGTCTTGTTCACAAATGAGGGTAGAATCGAGCGTGAGATGGATCGGCGGTTTGGTGGGGCTTCTGCAATGATACAGACACTGCGCCGGACCTTTCAACTTACTGGTCCATCTACATCCCAACCCTCACCTATGGTCATGAGCTCTGGGTAGTGACCGAAAGAATGAGATCGTGGATACAAGCAGCCAAATTGAGTGTCTGGGCTCAGCCTTAGAGATAGGGTGAGGAGCTCAGACATCCGGAGGGAGCTCGGAGTAGAGCCGCTGCTCCTTTCACGTCGAAAGGGGTCAGTTGAGGTGGTTCGGGCATCTGATCAGGATCCTCCTGGGCACCTCCTGTTAGAGGTGTTCTGGGCACGTCCAACTGGGGCAGACCCAGAACACGCTGCAGGGATTATATATTTCATTTGGCCTGGGAACGCCTTGGGGTCCTCCAGGAGGAGCTGGAAAGTGTTGCTGGGGAGAGCGACGTCTGGGGTGCTTTGCTTGGACTGCTGTCCCCGTGACCCGGCCCTGGAGAAGTGGATAAATAGGATGGATGGATGTCTGCTGTAACACCTGTATTTACCCTCTGTCTGACACACCAGTTTCTGGGTCTTCTCGCACCATCCATGGATGTACAAAGAGAACTGGATACAGCATATGAGGAAAGTCCCTGTTCATTCCTATGACAGTTGCAATTACTCCTTTTCCACCAAGATGGAATTGGTTCCGTTCTGGTTTCTGCACCTAATTTTGAACCATTCAGAGCATATTAACTAAAGATTAATTGGTTCAGAGCACAAAAAGTTGGTTCCCAGCTGGAACCAAACAAACAAACAGCAGGTTTGGTGTGCATGGTGACATCAGTGGACGTGTCACATTCTACAGGTTGGAAAGAGAGGAAGGTGAAGGCAACACCTGAGATATCAGTTGAGATATTATCTGTTTTTGCTTTAAAACAAATATCTGTAATTACAGAACAAAAGTTTGCGGGTAATCAGTGCGCTCTGCCATCTTGCCACTACAGTTTACTTCCACTGTGCGTTGTGCAATGCCTTCCGCTGACGACACATCCTTGATTACAATGGTTCTGCTCCAAACTGGTGGACTACCACCCCGTGTGGCTACACATTTTGACAAATGTCTGTCTCGATCAGACACCTGGTCTGGTTGCCAAGCAGTCCTTTTTTTTTGTAGAAGGTTTTTTGGATGTATAAAACTGGGTTGTTGGCTACCTCAAATTATACGTCCATTCCACGATTGCCCAGTAAGTTATACATATTCTTTTAGTCTGTACGGGTCCTTAAAAGAACCAGAAGGGTTTTTCATAAACAATGATCCAAGTTGTGAGGATTGTTTTAACAGGATAAAGTGGTGTTGTGTCAGTATGCCGGCTGCCATTCTGGTATCGTGACATTACGTCATAGTGTTTGAGAGAGTGTCAGCATTGTGTGGCTCTCAGTATTCAGGTAGCAGCAAAATATTTCCTTGTAGCAAATATTTAATAATTCATGAGTGTTAGTGTTTGTGGTGTTTTCTTACTCATGCAGCCGTCAGTACTTTTAGATCATTGTTTTCACAGAACCACAGCAGCTGTATACATGCTATCAGTGTACATGTCAGGAACATTGACTGTGTGACCCTTGCACTGTAATTACTGTTGGAGTAAACATGTGTGCACACAGTAAACAGTTTTGCCAGTCTCCTATGAGCCTCCTCTCCTCTCTTTGTCTTTTGTCCGTAGCCTTTGGTGGTAGTGTGATAGAGTGTGGAGACCTCCATCTGGCCAGTTAAAAGCTGAGTGAACTGACTGCTTTGACCACTAATGGGTCTTGCTGGCAGCTGAGTCCTGGTCTGGTCTCCACGGAGACGAGCCTCAGCAGAGAGAGGCAGGGCTGAGCCGCACCGATTGATCAGCTCTGTGTTTGTGTGTGTGTGTGTGTGTTCAGAGGGATAGACATGGCTCGCTGTCTGCTCTGCTTTCACACCCACAGCTGTGCGGCTGCTCTCCCTCCTCCCATTGTTTGGTGGATGACTGACACTAAAAGGCTTAATGGCAGGTAATCTCATACCTGCCCTTAGGAGAGATTACGCTGAGATGAATGGTTACAGTGAAGCCGATGGACAGGTGGTGCAGCTTCCCATAATTTGAAGGAACAAGTGGTGCCCATACCAAACTTTATCTTAAGCGGGATTTATACGCCGTAGCCTATGTATGTGGCCTATGCTGTTGTGAGCATTTACTCTTGTGTGGTTGTGTGTCTGTGTCACTCTGCAGTAACACCTCCAAAACACTAGTCGGCGGCAGAGGTTTCTGTGAAGTGCTGTAAAGTTTAGTTGATTCAAAACACACATTAAACACACATTAAACATGGCTTAATAGAGACAATTTCAAACACAAGTACACAAATCAGCTTCACTATAACTCGCAGCATTCACAGACAAACACTTTCCGGACACATTTTCCCCACAAATACAACATGCTAATGTTATTAGCACAAGCCTATGGTATTTTACACTGTATAAATTAGCCTAGTGGCTAGTGGTGATTTCCTCTACTCATATGAAGCCAGGGACAACAGCAACATTTAACAAAGGTAACGTTACAAAATTCAGCTCCATTACAACTCACAAGGTTCACTGACAAAAAACTGTCTTATACTAAACATGTTTTCCAAACAAATACAACATGCTAACGTTATTAGCACAAGCCTATGGCATTTTACATCATATAAATTAGCCTAGCAACAGGATAAATCACACACAAGACTTAAAATACTATTTTGTGGAGGCTCACTTAATCGCTCTTGCAGAGCTTTTAAATCTTAATCAACATCAGGTGTCATCAAGTGACCATCGGTTATACAGTGACAATAGGTGGTTGTATATGGAGAGGATCCTTGGCCCTGTGTTGTGATTATTCAAGATTATATCAAGAATTTATTGACACCCTATGTGCCTAGGTGTGTCATTAGAGCAGTGGCTGCTCCTCAATTTCAGCTGGTGACCAAAGGTGACCAGACCTTTGCTGTTAGAGCGTCCAGACTGTGGGACACCCCTTCTTAGAACTTTCTTTTATGGAAAGCATTTATGAATATTTAATATGTTGCTGGCTTTTATCATCTCTCCTTAGCTATTTTATTGTGCTATTTTTAAACTTTATTTTATCTCATCAGTGTTTTTTGACTTTTGTATTTTATTTCCTTGTTGTTTTTAGTTTTTGTCTGCTGTTGTAATCTGAAAAGAACTTAAATAAATTCAGTATATTTTTATTATCAAATGACCAGTGTTCCCCACTGAGGTCACATTCGGACTGACACCTGTTTCATTCACTGATTAAGACCCTGATCACATAGAAAGTGTTTTAACAGCTGGAGGCGGCTTTTTGCAATTGTTTTTAATGAGAATGAAGCTTTTTGCATTGCTACGCGCCTCACATTTCTGAGTTTTAGGCGCCTGCTGTTTTTGCAGGAGCACTCTGAACTCCTAGAATTGGCAAAACTTCAACTCAGAGCAGAAAAGCGCCCCATGTCATCTCCACTTTTTTCCCATTGTCCAATCAGATGATTTGAGAGGTGGGCTTTTTGTGATGGTCACAACAACAAGTTTACAGTTGGTAAACAATGGAGGAGAAACTGGTGGTAGTGGTTGCTGGATACCCAGAGCTATACGGCCTGATGATAGACAGCAGGTTGTCAAACTGCCCCTGAGTCATTCTAAAATATGCCTGTAAACGTCCATGATGGAGGAGAAGTTCCTGGACCAACTGGTGGTACTCCCCATGAAGCTGCTGCTCCTTCGCGTCGAAAGGGGTCAGTCGAGGTGGTTTGGGCATCTGATCAGGATCCTCCTGGGCGCCTTGTCCCACTGGTAGGAGGCCCCGGAGCAGACCCAGAACACACTGGAGGGATTACATATCTCATCTGGCCTTGGAACACCTTGGGGTCCTCCAGGAGGAGCTGGAAAGTGTTGCTGGGGAGAGGGACGAATGGGGTGCTTTGCTTGGCCTGCTGCCCCCGTGACCCAGCCCCAGATAAGCGGATGAAAATGGATGGATGAATGTAAATAAACGGTAGATTGATTACATGAGAAGGTAAGGGTTAGAAGGTGATGGGCAGAAAAAAGTAGTGCGGAGCGCCTCGCGTTTTGCAACCTCAAAATGCTCTCTGCGTGATCAGGGCCTAGACCATAGCTAATTCTCACCAGTGTCGGCCATGTTCAGAGATAGATTGCAGTTACGGAGCTGTAAGCTGCTCCAATAAAAAGTTTGTATCAAAAGCTGCAGGTTCATGTTTTTATTTCTGATCTTGACTTCTCCTCCTCCTCCCCTCTCTAGATGGCTTCAACCGACTCGCGGCTCCAGCAGCAGCCCTCCCAGAAGGATGCGGCCGACCAGAACTTTGACTACATGTTCAAGCTGCTGATCATTGGCAACAGTAGCGTGGGAAAAACCTCCTTCTTGTTTCGCTACGCAGACGACTCCTTCACCTCCGCCTTCGTCAGCACTGTGGGCATCGACTTCAAGGTCAAGACTGTCTTCCGCAATGACAAGAGGATCAAGTTGCAGATCTGGGTGAGTGGTTTAAAGATGCAATGCATTGTGGGTTTATCTGAGGTTATTACATTTATTACATCACCACACTGTCATTTAAGGCACATAGGTAAACAGGAAGCATAAATAACAGGTTCTGGCCTTCAAAGCCACAACTGATCATGCTTATATAGTGTGAAGTGCATCACCTCTATTCTCTATTCTACACCTGAGTTTCTGTATAAGTGCATGTGTTGTTGTTATGGAAAGTTCATACTTCAGTCTTTCATCAGGATTATATTACTTTAGATGTAAATAAATGCTGAATAGCCACAAAAAATGTTGGCATTGAACATTTCTGCAAACCACAGATACGTTACATTTGTACGTTTTATACATATCATATCAGCATTTCTAAATTGACGTAGTATATGGGCTTTGTCATTGGGGGTGTTTTTCTAGGGACCCGTCGCTGTTTTTGCTAGCAGGGATAGAGCCACCAAAACCAGGTATTTTAAGCCAACATGATCTTTTCCAAACCATAACCATGTGATGTTGTGCCTAAAGAGGGCCTTATACTTCTGCGTCAAATTGACACCGTACCTACGGTGTAGCCTGACGTGCACATCCCCAGAAATGTAACTACATGTTGCGGCAATGCAGACCTTTACTTAAATTTTACAGATTAGAAACAATAAATTGTGTAGATAGTAAAGCCTCCACAAAATAGTTCTTTAAGTCTTGTGTGTGATTTATCCTGGCTTCAGAGGAAAACGGCAGTTGTTTGACTAATTCATACAGTGTAAAATGCCACAGGCTTGTGCTAATAACGTTAGCATGTTGTGTTTGTTTGGAAAACGTGTTTAGTATAAGACAGTTGTTTTGTCAGTGAACCTTGTGAGTTGTAATGGAGCCAAATTTTGTAACGTTACCTTTGTTAAATGTTGCTGTTGTCCCTGGTTTTATATGAGTAGAGGAAATCTCTGCTAGTCGCTAGGCTAATTCATACAATGTAAGATGCCATAGGCTTGTGCTAATAACATTAGCATGTTGTATTTGTTTGGAAAACGTGTTTAGTATAAGACAGTTGTTTTGTCAGTGAACCTTGTGAGTTGTAATGGAGCCGAATTTTGTAACATTACCTTTGTTAAATGTTGCTGTTGTCCCTGGCTTCATATGAGTAGAGGAAAAATTCACTAGCCACTAGGCTAATTAATACAATGTAAAATGCCATAGGCTTGTGCTAATAACGTTAGCATGTTGTATTTGTGGGGACAGTGTGTCCAGATAAAGACAAGTGTGTGTCTGTGAATGCTGCGAGTTATAGTGAAGCTGATTTGTGTACTTGTGTTTGAAACTGTCTCTATTAAGCCATGTTTAATGTGTGTTTAATGTGCGTTTAATGTGTGTTTTGAATCAACCACCACACAAGTAAATGCTCACAACAGCGTACGCTATGGCATAGACCCTGTATAGAGCTGATGCAAGTAAAAATCCCGCTTCAGTCTAACCACACATTAACCACAGTAAAAAGAAATGTTAAGTCTCACTATATCCACAACATAATAACATACAAACGTTACATATCTGTGGTTTGCAGAGACGCATAAGGCCAACATTTATTCTGGCCACTGAGTTGGAACAACAGAGGGAGAAAGAAAATGAAAGTCAGCCCATGTGAAATACTTGTTTGCACCATGAAGTCCCTGTCAGTCAGCTTGGTGACAGAAGGCTTACAAAAAACCTTTTAAAGACCAGGTTTGTCTAGAATTGTGGGTTTGGCCCTTGTGCAAGTTTAGCATGTGAATTATGCAAGTGTAAAGCATGACTTCCTCATGGTTTCATACTTACTCTCTACCCTTATCTGGCATCTTCTGGTGTTCTGTTTACATACAGTACAGGCCAAAAGTTTGGACACACCTTCTCATTCAATGCGTTTTCTTTATTTTCATGACTATTTACATTGTAGATTCTCACTGAAGGCATCAAAACTATGAATGAACACATGTGGAGTTATGTACTTAACAAAAAAAAGTGAAATAATTGAAAACATGTTTTATATTCTAGTTTCTTCAAAATAGCCACCCTTTGCTCTGATTACTGCTTTGCACACTCTTGGCATTCTCTCCATGAGCTTCAAGAGGTAGTCACCTGAAATGGTTTCCACTTCACAGGTGTGCCTTATCAGGGTTAATTAGTGGAATTTCTTGCTTTATCAATGGGGTTGGGACCATCAGTTGTGTTGTGCAGAAGTCAGGTTAATACACAGCCGACAGCCCTATTGGACAACTGTTAAAATTCATATTATGGCAAGAACCAATCAGCTAACTAAAGAAAAACGAGTGGCCATCATTACTTTAAGAAATGAAGGTCAGTC